CCTCTCTCTCTCATTTGCAACATGTGTGAGCATGTGTCTAGTGTGAGCCACTTTTTTCTTATTGCTCACTCCTCTGTTTCATTTCTCCGTTGTCTGTTTCAATAGTTGATAGATTAGATGACAGAATTAATAAATGAATAAAAGAAAGCTTGGCTTTATTTTACTAACTTAGGAAAGTGGATATTAGCTGAAGATTGATAACTGTGGCATACATACAAGGCATGTGTGCTTTATACCATTTGAAAGAGTTGATTCTGATTATTGAACTTCCCTCTCTTGAACATCTTCTACTTTTTAAATATTTTTTGTATTTCTTCATATTTTTGGGGGGGGATCATACACTATGTACTTGAACACTTTCTATATTTTTTTCAAGCGGACATTTGGAGGGCGCCACTGGTATTTCTTACTTCTTTACTTTCCCTCTTTTGTTTCTGTCTGTCTGTCTTATTTTGTTCCCGGCTTTAGATGGCCATTTTTGTTTCTGTGTGCTTCTCTTTGCTCAAACAAAACAAACTTTTTTTTCAAAAAGCTGTTATTTAGTTTTTCTTACAGAATAGCTAGAATCTGTCTTGTTTTCATCTATACATTTAGCAATGCTTTTTTCAGATTACCTACAAACATTTTTGCCAGCATGTGAGAAACCCTGGAGAAGGCTGCAAAACTTGCAACAACTGTTCACTGTGGACTAATCCAGAGGTAAAGAAAATTGTATATAGTCGGGCACAGGTAACACAAACAGGAAAAACTCGAAATCACTGATGGCTCTTCATCATCATCATCCGGTGCCTTGCCGACTGGCGGGGGCGAACATGGACCTCCACTTCACTCTGTCTTGTGATGCAGCAATGGTGTCTGTTGTTCTTGCTGCTCCTATAGCCATGTTGTCATCTTGTCCAGTATCTTTTCCCTCTGTCTGCCTCTACCTCTCTTTCCATCAAACTTGCCTGTTGTTACAACATTCTCCAATGCTTCTTTCTGCATTGTGTGTCCAAAGAAATTTGCCTGTCGCTTTCTTATATTCGTCATAAGCTGTCTTCTACAATTTGCTTCAATCAAGACTTCTTCATTTGTTTTTCTAGCTGTCCATGGGATATGTAGCATGCGTCTTATGAACCACAACTCTGTTTATTGATTGTCCATGCTTCGCACCCGTATAATAGGATTGGCTGGATGTAACTTTCCAGTACTCTTTTTCTCATTTCCGAAGACAGATGGCTATTCCCTGACTGATATTTCTTATTTAAAATTTTCACTATGTTGCAGATCTTTCAAACAGGTTTGTCAGTCCCCAACGTGTTTGAGCTATTCTATGCCTGACTTGAACATCCACTACATTTATGTATTTACAAAATAATGATATTTTGAATTTGGTTTTCCTCCTTTTTATGTACTTCATGCACACTGCTTGGAAATCAAGGCCAGGGAGGAGTGAGAGTTCATAAAAATTTGATTCTGAGTGAGATTGCAATTTTTCTTGCCCTTCCATAAAAGTGTGTCAGTGTGCACGTTTTTTTTGTGGTGTTTTTTTTCCAATCCTTTTACTTTAAGCCCAGTGTCTGAGCAGAGAAGTGATTGAAAAGCTTTGAAGCAAATCTTTATTGTATCAAGAGGTGTGTCAAAAGCAAATCTTCAAGATTAGGAAGTCAAAGCTGAACTAGATACAAATAAAAACTTGTTATTCTAAATTAGAATAACAAGTCTAAAGGTGTGTGAAGCTCTGGGGAAAGTCACCGAGTTACAGAAAGACGGAAAGAAAAGAGACAAAGACAGTGCCCTGAAGTGATTACCGTAGCTCGTTGTAGAGATTGTGCATAAACTGATGCCTCAGAATTTATACGAATGGTATAATTTTGCCATGAGACCAGCTGCTTCTTTTATGGGTGTGCTGTATTGTGGGTTTTAAAGGAAGATGATCAACCTGTTTATTATGTTTTCTTTAACTTTTGTTTTTTAAAAATAAGGTCCTGAATATAGTGGCACACATCTTATAAACTAATTTGAGCACTGGTTGAATCAGACTGGTCAGTTTAGAATTGAGGTCTTAAGTCTCAAGTCAGCTGTGTGTGTGTGCATAAATCTTATACATACCGTCGAAATTGTCTAAGACAGCCACCCATCGTCGAGGAGAGAAGTGGCCGTCTTACACAGTATCCTTCTAAATGTAATGGGAGAAATATGCAAGGGAGGAAATGTAAAGTTGCCGTTTTACAGATGATTGTCTTTATACGGGTGCTGAGTGTAAATTAGTAATGTGCCTCAATTCAAAATACAGAATTTTCTCCTAGATTAAATGTATGTTGAGCAGAATCATGAAGAGCAAATGAAATATTTATTTTTATTTTTATTGAAACTTTCTTTCTAAAGGCTTTTGCATTTCTTTTTCATTAAGGAAGATGATGAGAGGGCCATTGCAGAGTTACAAAAAGAAGGTCAAGAAAAGAAGAAGACTTTGGGTATGTGTGTTTTGAGTTTATTAAATGAGAAAAATGTTGTGTAAAATTGTGAAACGGTGTAAGTAATGTTGCAAATGTTGTTTTCTGTTTTGCTTGGCCTCACAGTTTTGTTTATAAGCCTTTAGAAATGACCAATGATGCTTTCCTGTCAATTTGTCTTTCAGATTATTACGTAAATGAGCTTTACAAACTCATCTGCCTACAGCACGAATTATTAGTTTAAAAAACGGTCTTTCCAGACGTAACTTGTTTTCCGAATATGTACCAGCTTTACATTTTTCAGTTTATCCACATGATTTGAATTATTGATGTCCAGTTTAATATTAACTAGGTTTAGTTCACAGAGGTTTTAGCGACATATTAACATTTACAATAATAGTAATAGTAATATAGGTTTGGAAATGGTATTTCACACCAAGTGCCATTTGTGTGCAAGCACCTGAATGTGCTTGTGATTATGTGTGTACATGTCTGTTTGTGTTACATCTGTTTGTAGGCCTTGTATGTAGGAGCAAGTGAACCTTTAGCATGATGAAGTTAGCTGTTAAGACAAAATGAAACAAAAAATCATGCCTGTTTGAATGGTATTCCTGCAAAACATATTGAGAACTATCAGTCTTTGTCGTATGTGAAGATGGAGGGAAAACATGGTGAGGAGGTAAAAATATGTTATAGGCACTTCTTCTAGGCCTTCTGCTCGTGGCACTCCTTGGCAACTTCTTCCTCCTGCCCCTACCACAGACAATTATACAATGCCTTATGCTGTCATGTAGCAAAGAACAACTTTTGAAGACCACCTTTTTTCACAACATTGGCAATCTCAGTTCGCCCGCTTGACTTGCTAATGCATTAGAATTACAGTCAAACCTTGTTGTAACCGCATACACCATCACATCCCCCACCCCTTCCCCTTGTACCACCAGCCCCGCTTACCACCAGGTTTTGTCAATGTACACAAAGAATCCCCTATATAAACATAGTATTTTTGCCTTAACACCGCCATCCGCCATCGGTCTCAGATGTACTGTCCTTATACAAATACTGTAAATTTACCCCGTTGTACCGACAGCAAACTGCTCCCTCCCAGTGCATCCCACCTCCCCACTTTTGTCTTGTAGATTTCAGGCAATATGGATAGATCTGCAGTGATGTAGTGTGTCACAAGCGAACACAATATAATGTGTTGAAGGGTACAATTAAAATACAACATAAATTCAAAAGTCAGCATCAAATTTCGCTCCCCGTGTAAGGCGCTGATTATGAAAATGGTATTGTTTTTAAGCCTTCGTCAATATTTTTAAAAAGAAATTTCAATTAAATTTTTAAGTTACCTAAATAAACTTTAAAGAAACCCTGTCATCTTCGCCCCCCGGCAAAATATCTGGCATCGCCAGATATCAGCCCAATAACTTACAGGCTGACGATTTAATTTACTAAAACACTCATGCTCAAGTCCAAGTCAAGTGACAAATCGAAGTGAGATCTTTCATTACTTCATCTGGTAATTGGTAAACAAGTTCATTTGACGTTGGGCAGTCGGTACTACGTTTATTAAACAGAGGACAGGAAAACCTTGTTGTACCGCCAGCCCCACATTACCGCCAAACTTAATTGCTTGTCCCACAGTAGGCAGAATAACGAGGTTTCACTGTATGTTTTAATATATTTATTATCCATAGTGTTGGTATGGGTTTATTAACACTCTTTTCAACACAGGCTGAACCAAGGCTGGGGTAGTAATGGCCGCAAAGTAATGGGAGGGGGTGGTTGGTTGGTACTCCTACTTTCCTATCAAATATCTAGAGCTATCGTCCTGATCTCCCCTAACTTTTTTTGGGGGGTGACCTTATTTAGGCCACATATGGCCTAAATAAGCTAAACCCCCCTCCCTTACCTTATTTGGGCCACAGGTGGCCTAAATAAGCTAAACCCCCCTCCCTTACCTTATTTAGGCCACACCTGTGGCCTGAATAAGCTACCCCTCCCTTACCTTATTTAGGCCACACCTGTGGCCTAAATAAGCTAAACCCCCCTCCCTTACCTTATTTAGGCCACATATATGTAGTCAAAATAACCAAACCAATGTAAAGAATTGTTTTCTTTACAAGTTACATTATTATTTCTTAAAAACTCTTCACATCCATTTTCCTTCACAGCCGTATCGTACATGACATGTGATGTAGAATCAATTTAAGGTCCTTGGAAAGGTGACCAGAAAATAACAAAATTATTTCATGATCTTCACTTGCACTTGCAATTTTTTGGACAAAATTAAAGTCTACCTAATTATATTTTTTTCTCCTCATTTTTCTTCACTATAAATGACAACTGGCATGTATTGTTTTCAGTTATTATCAAGAAAGTGGATAGGCGGACTACGGGGTCTATCTAGCCAAAAGGATAGGTGGACCCCGGGGTCTACCTAACAAAATGTTAGGTTTTAGGATGTGAACCCCGGAGTCAGCGTAGTGAAATAAGTAGATCTAGGTTTAACTAAGGATCGGTGGACCCCGGGGTCAACATAATGAAATAAGTAGATCTAAGTTTATTTTATAATAGGACTGGCGGAGCCCGTGGTCAAAGTAGTGAAATTATAAGTAGATATAGGTTTAATTAAGGATTGGAGGACTACGGGGTCAATGTAGTGAAATCAGTAGATCTAGGTTTAATTAAGGATTGGTGGACCCTGGGGTCAATGTAATGAAATAAGTACATGTAGATCAGATAGATCTAGGTTTAATTTTAAGGATTGGTGGACCCTGGAGTCAACGTAGTGAAATAGGTAGGTTTAAGGTGGACCCCAGGGTCTACCTAACGAAACACTAGTTAGGTTTTAGAATAGGTGGATCCTGCGGTCACCGTAGTAAAATAAGTAGGTTTAATCAAGGTGTCCCGGGGGTCCACAAATCCTTAATTAAACCTTCTTAATCCTCTATGGCCTTGGTGACTCCGGGTTCCACCAATCTTTATTAAAGAAACCTACTTATTTCACTGCGGTGACCCCAGGGTCCACCTGTCCTAAAACCTAGTACCAATCCTTACTTAAACCAAACCTTATTTCACTACAGTGACTCCGGGGTCCACATCCTAAAACCTAGTATTTCGCTATGCAGACCCCGGAGTCCACCTATCCTCTACAGGACTATACTATTATTATCAATTTGCAATTTTCATTGATTAGCATTTTTTTAAAAAATATTGAATCAGAGTGCAGGGGAGACCGAGGCGCCCGGTTGATTCGGTGGTCGGCTTTTGTAGATCTATGCATTTTTTACGGAAATCCGTATTACCTAACCCTATTACTAGATCTATTAGTATTAGTGTTGTGAAAACTTCAACCTCTACAGCTCAGGCGTCAAAAGATGCTGGTAAATAATAATAGATCTACGTCCTGAAGTTTCATAATTTATTTTTATACAGAATAACACAGTACACAGTCAGTAGTTTTTATTTCATCGAGTTATAAAAATGGCCTTCGTATAAAAATTGCCTTGTTTTCAGAAGCAAGTTTTAATAGTTCTAGTTCTACCTAATCGATTTTCATGCGAATTCAACCATTTTGATTATCTTTCTTTTCCTTTTAAAAAGATGTAGATCTAGGCCTGTCGGATGTGGCAGTGCGAATAGCACTGAGTTGTTTAGATCTAGATCTAGATCTAGACCCATCAAAACACGAGGCTTCGTGGCCGATCACAAAAGTCTACGGGGCTTATGGAGGCCGATTCGCCCTGCCGCGAGCACGTTCACTAAACTGCCTACTAGATAGAATCTACTACCAGATATTCTCTACACGATCTTTGCTACTACTACTACTAGGCCTACTAGCCTACATGTACTACTACGAGACAGTACGAGAGAGTGTCACTCAGGCAAAGATAGTGTAACTTTGACTCAGCCACGTAGTGTACACACTTTTTATACCCCAAATTTAACCCGGAAGTTCATTCGGAGGATTTGACCTTTTCACTTGACCAAAGTGTGCCAAAATGGTAGCCTAGCTTTTGCCCCTCCATGAAGGAAAAATCCGGCCCTCATTCAAACCATTGGAATTGAGCAAAATTTTGCGTATTGTGCTTTGTTCTTTACAATATTCATTATGGTTATGATTTATAAGTTGTACACTGAGGCAAAACCATACTAAATGAGAAAGGTGCACCATTATGAAAGTGGAATGAACTCAGTTGCCTGAAAAGGGTAGTTTGAGCATGTGTGGCCTAAATAAGCTAAACCCCCCTCCCTTACCTTATTTAGGCCACAGTGCTAAACCCCCCTCCCTTACCTTATTTAGGCCATATGTGGCCTAAATAAGCACTCCCTTTTTTTTTTGGAGTTTGTTACTCTCTTGTACTTTTAACACCTCTAATCTTTGGCACTTATATGACTTTATTGAGTTGCAAGTGCCGTAAAATTCTTACTAAAACTAAACTAAAGTGATGAATGAGAATGGAGTAAGTAAGATAAACAACAATGCTGTACTGAAAGGAGAACATTTCTGTTAACTTCTAATTCTAAGCAACTTCCGATGCAGGAGGTTGGGAGAGAGGAGGAGGAAGAGTTGTGGGATAAGACAAGAATGAATATGCCATGTATGTAGTTGCATTATTTTTAATCTCTACAGGTCACAATGTTTTGTTTAGTCTTAGTAAGAGTTTTGTGGCACTTGCAACATAAATAGGTCATATAAGTGGGGAAGATTAGAGTCGTCACCAAAGAGTAACAGCATACAAAGTGAGAAGAGATACGGACAATAGATGTTTGACAGGAAATGAGCAAACCACACGAAAGAACCCTCCAAACACCCACAGGTCACAATGAAAATATCCTTTGAATGGTTTATGTCTCCCATTGTCTCTACTAGTTATAGAAAGATCCTCATCATGAACAATTCTTTTTACTCTCTGCAGGGTACAATGAAAAGATTGTTATTGGCATGCCAGATGAAAAGACTGTCAATGACCTGTTGGGGGAAACTGAAGTCAAATCTATTCCAGTTGACTTGGACAATACTGTGCCAGAGAGGAGGCAGATTCTGAATGAAAGAGAAGCACCTCCACAAAATCTACTTCACCAGTGTATAAAAAACCTTCTCCATTTCACCACTAGAGTATTGCCATCTCAATCTTCATAATTGAAGTGAAATTTTTATGCAGGGCATGGTTGTCAGGACAAACGTATGTAAAAATCATCACTGTCGCAAGCAATTCATTTAAGTCAAAATTTTGAGAATTTTCAATTTTTACATCCTCCCAAATCTCAATTCAAAAAATGTATCTTTCAATATCACCAAAATGCGGTTTAACTTTAACGCTAAGGTCAAGGCTTAAAATGTTCTTGCTTTTTGTAATTTCTGATAGGAATTATCACAAAAACTAGTTTTTTTTGGTCTCTGGTATAAAAAGTACTCATACAGAATTAAGTGGATGCTTGCAAAACTGACAAAATACGGCTGGATAATGGTATCACTCACCTGGAACAGACCTTTTCTTGCACAATCATAGATACCCTGATACAGTACATGTTATAGAAGCCGCTTAACTCTTTATCTCCGGCAAGCTGCTCCCAGCAGCTCATGGTCGGAACGGCTGTGCCAGTGAGCCACTGACAGCAGCTCGTCGTATTTCTTTACAACTTTGGCATCAAATTACTTTTGGCAATTGCAGAAAACAGATCTCTTTTACTGGGAATTCGTTCTTTAGATGAAAAACTGTCAAAATAGGTTCACTTGTTTTCATTTGATGATCAATTTAATTACACTTTTAGATTTAGTATTAAAAAAAGGGCCCCGGTGTAGTGGGTTTACCCCCCCTCGGCGATATAGAGTTAATCCAACATCTATGGTGTAGTGATAGCAGTTTCATTGTCGCACGCAGAAGACCCAAGTTCAATTCCTGAGTGGGGAGAAATTCTTATAAAGTACCTCATTGTAGTTTTTTCTCTCTCAACCTGTGTTGGCCCTGACAGGCAGGGTGGAAAGCCTGATTCCTAAATGGTCTAAACTGTGTCGATTGGCGGATAAAAACACCTACATTTATAGAAAAAGAAAAAACAAGCTTCTTTTGGTGTATTGGAAACTGCTTACTTCTGCATTCAAACTCCCTCTTCACATTATGATTTGAGTTAATAAACGTATAGATCTATATGGTTAACACAATTTATTTTTTTTATGTGACCGTAGAAAATTTTCTAGTTCCTATTAAATCTGACATTTTGTATATTATTGTTCGTTGTGTATGAAAAGAATGCTTCTCTATAATAGAAATAAGCATACAATACATATTTGAGAATGTTCATTGAAGTTGTTCACAATTCAAAAAGCATACTGTGTATTCTCAATACAATAGTGTCCGCCTAAACGCACGGTGCTTGGGAGGGCTCCTTAGCGTCTGTTTATACGGAGCATGCGTATACACCCTTGCAAAGGGAGAAAGGCACGCAGTCATCTCATTGCCTTGATCTTCTAGTTACCTCCCTTTGGGAGGGGGGGTCACTTCAAGCCGATAATGTGATCACCCGTGACTGTTTTGTGAAGGATTCCCCAACTGCGGTTAAGAATACAAAGGTGTTGAAATGGGTGGGTGTGTGTGTGTGTGGGGGGGGGGGGGTGTTAAGAAATAGACTCAATGTAATGATATGCATCATAAAATGTCGGGAACAGATAGCGTAGGAGGAAACTGTTGGTGATAGTCATAGAGCGACTGCCCAGCCACGTGGCTTTCCAAGCGACCGCAAATTCATGGACGAGTATTCACGCGTGTTGCGCATCATAGGCCTAGAACTTAAACGTTACATGCAGTCACCCAAACACCAGTCAGAAACCTCTTCTTAAAGATGCATTTCCAGTGACCAATCAAATATTTCAGTCCCCCAACATTTCACCGACCAGTCCTATATCTGTGTACTGTCAGTGGAAAGTTGGGTGTGAAAACGCTGTCCATCACTCTCTTTGTTCGGCATGAGGGGCAGTCTCACCAAATATCCGCTTTTCTAGCAGCTTAACCTGTCAGTGTGTTTCGCGGATCGGAGCGTGCATTTAGAGGGAGTGACCATGCGTTTGTACATCGAAATTATTATATAGAGTAAAAAAAACAGACAGTTGACGAAAGCGTGAGTTTGAGCGGAGAGTACTTTTGCGTGGCGTGCATTTAGGCAGAGAATACTGTATTGTGACTGTGTCATATTAATAATAATTAATTATGCATCAAATTTTGTGTATTACTTTTTTCAAATTATTTGAGCCTGCGTTTCATTCTAAAGTATGTGTTTCCTTTTGAACTTTCAGTTTTCACTACATGGCATTCATCTGTGGTCCAATCTGGCAAACTTTTTTATTTCAGGAGCCCAGAGGAGGTGGCAAAGGAGGTGAGAGGGTGGGGGCAGAAAGTGGAGAAGAAAGCAGACGACAGCAAATTGTTAGAGAGCAGGAAAGGAGGAAAAAGGAGAAAATTTTAGAAAAGAAAATTGGTCGCTATTATTAAGGACAAGCAGAGGTTTCCAGAAATTTATCTTGACCAACCCCTACATCAAAAGTGAGCATTGCCCTACCTACAGGAAAAGTTTGGCTTCATTGGTGTGTATGTTTGGTTATAGAGAAAACTTTCCTTCTCTTTTAAAGAAACTGAACAAGGGGCAAAAACTTTACTTAAGATATTCTCAAAACAGCATTTTTCGGGATAGCCCCCTTGTGCTTAAAAGTTAAAAGCGACCAATTTTCCAAAACTGTGGTGTAACCTCTCGACCACGATAGAGATCATCCAATGAAATTTATAAAACTGATGAATATATTGATAATAAAAAAGTATAAAGAGATATTTTTAAACACTAATAATGTAACCTACACCAACACCCCTATAAAAAATGTTCTATGATTATGGAAGAGCTTGCTCATGCAGATGGCAAAGAAATTACTTTTCTTTTTCAGTACCGGTACCATCTTGCTTTCCACTTACAGACCCAATAAGTGTGCATCTATCAAATTACTATATATATACTAGCTAGCCACATCTTTGTGTCTGAGTTATCATCTTCATCAGTTTGGTGTTATTGCACATAAACTGATCTTATCAGGCCTTGATTTTTCATTATAATAAAAGAAAAACTATCTCACAGAGATATCTGCAGTCACATTGTGCTTCAAAAAACACGAACCTAACATTCCTAACGATAGGAAGAGGTGATGTGTGATCTTTATTAATTATTAAGAGACACCTACTTGCCTTCATCAACTTGATTCAATATTGTATGGTGGAAAAAATTATTACATGTACCAGAAATAGAAACAATCAAGGAGACATTATAACGAAATCGGTTGCAAAAGAAAATCTTTTCTGTGAATATCAGGTATCAAGGGAGACAACGAAAGTTAGACAACTGGGTCAAAATTTAACATGAATTATGCCTCGTATGTCACCTTGTACATTTTGGGTTCACAATACTCGGTATTACTGGCTTGTTTTTGTAGATTTGGATTGATTTCTTTGTTAATCTCTATTGGACCAGCTCTTTTTCCTCGACTTTCGCTTCACCAGGGTCCAGTCTCTACTACAACTTCACCTAGACTAACATTACAGAACACCGGCAGTCTCCCTCTTTCTACCGCCATCTCTGCGGATACGTCAGTGAAAGTGAAAGAAATGTGCAGAAGTACATATATTTAATTGAATCTACCTTCGCAAGCAGGGTAGTTTGAAATCAAAACAATTGTGAGGAAAAATTTGTTTAGTTTTTCAGGACAAGCTGTTCAATAAATCCGAATGCTATTCATGATTTTGAATTTTAGATGTTTGTGTTGTTTGTATCTGTTCCTGGCTGCGTGCATGTGATTTGAATTTTGTAAATTTAAGAAAAAATTTGGAACCTAAAAGTCTGCTCCTTTTTTTATGCATTTTTCACTATGCCAGTGCTAGGACAAGACTGAACTACTTCACAGTAAATCACATTTATGGCACACTATAATTTACTATAGACTTTTGGTTTTAAGCAGCCCACCCAGACTATGTACGATTTGCCTTGGAGAAAGTTTCGCCAACAGTTAACGAACATTTTGTGCTTCCAGCTTTTTCAGCATTTTTGCCCATAATTACAAATCCACAAGAGCCAAAACACATCTGAAAAAGTCAGAGTGTACAAACAAGCAAAAATGTTATCACTGCGGACCGCAGACTTGGCAGAACGGCCCACCAGCCAGTCACTGGGCTGTTTGCTGCCTGCGAGTGACAAATTTTTAGTTTATAAACTTAATGAAAACTACATCCCATCATAAAAAATATCAAATTCAGAACCAGCATTAACATTCAAAATTAACAAAATGACTCGCAGCTGCCTCTTTTTTTTGCTGGATTTCGTAGATGGTGAAAACATTTTTTTAAAATCAGAATCGCATCATAGATACATACATTATTCTCTTATCACAAAGAGGACTGACAACTGTCTGTTTTAGGTCAACATATAACTCCCTTTACAGTTGACCGCAGACCACCGGGAGGCCAAAATTTGCCTTAATTAAGAACTGTCAACTCTAACTGTAAGTGTAATACAGGAGAACTCGGATTCAACAAGGTCGCCGGGCCTGACCTAAAACTTCGTTGAATCTGAGTGTTCGTTATAGCAAACACGAGGTTTTGTGTAGATAATTACAGGCACTGAGCAAGTAATGTATAAAGAGAAGTCACAAGTAGTGCCTGAAGTGCATGCATAATTTTATTATTATCTATGCAAAAAAAAAGACCGATTTGTTCGAATGCACGCCTGTGTCATCTCGATTGTTTACCACAAAGTTGTGTTGCTGTGTAGAGTCCAGCATACGGCAACTTTTGATTCCAGAGACCACCGCACAATTCATTACGTAGATCTACGTCAAGACTAGTTTATTACTGTAATAATGATCAGTTGCGGAGGGAAAAACAAAGACTGAGACGCGTTTGTATCTGCGACGTTCAAGTTCAAAACACGGACCGCTAGTGCCCCCCCCCCCCCCCACCCAAGCAGGCAGCCCATCCGACCCCGACACACGCCAGAGTAGACCCGTGCGCGTCCCAAAAACGCATGTGTTGGTATGAAAAAAGGTCGCATGCAATCGGCTAAGTGAACAATAGCCCAAGATCACGATGCAGGTGCAAGCAATGGATGGTTTCCAGGAATAGATACAGTTCGTTCTGGGAGAAAAATGAGCGAAGCCACGTCTGCGGGGGCTGTTCACCCTGGAAGCGACCTCGTTGAATCCGAGCTCGCTGATACAAGTGCTCGTTGAATCAGGGTTATTTTTATTGATTTTAAAGAAGAAAAAAAATGGGGAATCTATTTCATCTCGTTGAATCCTAGCTCGTTAAATCCGAGTTCCACTGTACCCAGTTATAGCTTGTTCACTTTTGTCTGACCATAGTTAAAACAAGATCAAATGAAATCACTGTTTAATCTTCTTAGATCTTTGCATACAGGTCTTAAAGTTTAAAGTTGCATGACCAACAGATTCTAAAAGCCAATTCATAAAGGTAATTGCAAACTAAGGTTCAGGCACATTTTCTTTCATGATGTAAGCCAAAAGCGGGTAAAAAAAAAGTCATCGGGGATTTACAGCATACACAAAAACGTCAAATAGTTGACACGTTTTCCTCAACACCTCACTCTAACAGATAACGTACGCCTAAGAAGAAACGCGATTCAATCAAGAGACGAGGTGAGTAGTTTTTCAAGACTCACATGGAGCATGTGGAGACATCTGGACAGCTGGGGGATGAAATCAACAAGTTTACACTGAAATGTGGGGGCAGAATGGTGTCGCTGTGTCAAAATGAGCAATTTGTAGGCAAGGTTACACAGTAAGTCACTTATTATAGTTTAGTGATCTTGTGTGAAAGCTTTCAAGCCAAAGAGCGATTTTACAATAGATCTACTGCCCAAAGAGAAAAAAATTTTCATTACTGGATTGTTGTTTTTTTTTTATTTTTGTTTGGTCACTGGCCTGCAGAATGTAAATTAATAAATGAGCTAGAATTTTTTAACACGGACAGACGAAAGTGAACAAGCTATAACATAAAATTCCTGTTGCCAAAGAAGTACCGTGGAATCCTGTTATAACGAGAGAGAGGGGACTGGTGCGAGATATGTGTGAAAGCTGAATTCATGTGTCTTAAGAGATCCAATAATTAATTCAACGGAAATAATATATAGGCCTAATCTATGAGTTTCTAGCATCTGCGTTTGTTGCCATTTTTTTGTCCAAAAGTTGCCACAAAAAAGTCAAAAATTGCCAAAAAAGTTGCCATTAATTTTCAAGCTTTCAACTAGCTGAGCTGTGACGACGTAATATATTGATAAAGGCAACTTAATCTCAAGCACCAGAATATTATTTGTAGACACATAGAGTGTAAAAACGTGAAAAATAAAGGTTTCATACAGAATGAAATCAAAATTAGAACAGCACACAAACAACCGCAAAAGGTAAACAAAATTAGGGCGTGTGTCCACCTATCCGAAGATTGGCCGTTTTAACCCTAAACGTGTTTATTTCAATCAAAAGTACAGGATATTGTATGTAAATTATGGAATCGCACACAAGGGGTCTGCCAGTTTCAGTATTCGGTTTTGGTGGAGACACGCTCTAATACATTTATATATATTTTTCAAATGTAGGAACATCAAATTAAATGACATTACGCTATATAAACACACACACAAATAGAAAGAAAAATTAACAAACCAACAAAGAGGGGAAAATAAAAGACAAACAGCAATATGATAAATAGTATGTTATGTAGCCTACTTATTATTCATCGCATGAAAATAACTATTCATGGACTCCCAAAATTATCAAAATACACGTCTATGTTATGAAGTAGCCCTTTCTTTTTGAAAAATGCCAAAATCGCGGCCGCGACAAACGCAGATGCCAGGAGTTTGGTGTTCTGTTTATTTCTTTTTCTTGATCTTCCCTGATGATGATTTTGTTCAACTGGATCAAAAATCGAATCAGGTTTCTTTCTCAAGCGCAAACCATGCTGACAGCTCGCCGTCAGCTGTGTTGTTCCCCTACATCCTGTGGTGCGTTCCGTCTACTTGCGTACATTGGGTACACACCACACCCTGCCCACGTCACATATTCACTCCATCCATCACAGCATTGTGATCTCTCCATCCCTGCATTGGAGAGGGAGAGGCATGGTAGGACTAGATAATCTAGACTAGGCTGGCCTATCACGCAATATGTCATGCTTGTCTGCACATGCCACACCCTTCCCACTCATTCGTTCCGGCCTTCATTGTTGGCACACATGGGCTCTCCCACTCTTTGTTTCGCTAGATCACAAACAAGTTTCTCAACTGGCGAGGTTTTACAATATATATTATTTTGGCCTATGCACTGTGCAGAGCAGCAGTAATATTCCGCTATAACCGACTGACGTGTTTGATTGAGCTATAGCAGTATTTTATTTACAAAATTAAAGAAGGGGGAAAAAAGCGGGGGTTTTTTTTAGAGTCTTTACAACAGACTTCTCGTTATTTCAGGATTTGTCAAAAGTGAAGTCCATTGTATTTCAAATCCTCATGGATATCACTCCCATTTTTATTCTATGCATTGCAATTTCCTATAACATGAAATCTGCTTAAAACACAAAGAAGTGGCTCTCGTGGCCTAAAGGTTAAGGTGTTCGCCTCTCATTCAAAGGTTCCGGGTTCGAATCCGGGTAGCGACGGAAAAATTTTCTTCTCTAAAATTGTCCCCTTTCACCTCCTTTCCTGCTCTCTGCAATGTTCCTTCATCTGCTTTCGTCCCCACCATCTCCTTTGCCCCCCTCCTCTAGGCTCCTTAGTCTTTCTGCAGCCTTTCTCCTGCTACTCCGTGGCTCCTTCTTACTGTTGTCCACGTTAAAGATCCCTTGGGGGTCTAAATTCAATAAGAGTAGGCTTCGGACGCTATCCGGGCAAAAGTAAAAATTTCCTACTAACTGAAAATGTATATAATAATGTGTCCTGCGCGCTCATGTGACATTATGCAGCTGCGAGCACCGTAAAACTTACAAAATTTTTTTAAATTATTAAAAAACACTAAGAAATTCTGTGGTCCCATGAAGATCACAATTTCAGGGCTTTACTGTATTAAAGTACAAACTAAAACAAACATTAGGAAAGAACCACAGGACTCCAAATTTTCTACCATAACATTTTTATTACATGTTTTTAAATCAATGCTAAAAGTCATAAACAATAATCATCATAGATTCAACATATTTTGGATGAGCTAATGAGTCCAAACACCATTGTGCACATCAAAACATGTACATTCACACATGACAATGAGATACATATACACATTCACACATCAATCAAACGTCTTCCTCTGGCCGCCGCCGCCACCACCACCAAAACTGTTGTTAAATCCTCCACCTCCTCTTCCACCCCGGAAGCCACCTCTTCCACCACTTCCTCTATCAAATCCACCTCGACCTCCACGACCTCTATCGAAACCACCTCGACCTCGGTTGAATCCACCTCTGCCTCCTCGGCCCCGGTCAAATCCGCCTCGCCCTCGACCTCTGTCGAATCCTCCTCGACCACCTGTGTGGAAAAATAACATACACTCTCAACAACAAAAAAATAATTTTGTTCATTTAAGATTGCACTCGTGTGCTTTGAAGTAGTATTTGCAAATGTTTTTGAAGCTTGGAATGAGTGAGTGGAGGGGGAATACGGGATGGGGGGGATAACAAAAATTGAAAGAAAGAAAAAAAAGTATGAGAGTGCAAGTGCAGATGTGTGCCTATGACACTCACAATATTCATGGCTATAGTGCAGTCAACTTAAGCAGATCTACCTCCTTGACAACTTTATAGCCAATGGTCTTTATTACAGTAGACCATTTTTGGGGGAAATATGTTAATATACATCCAGGATAGAAGGAACACTAGTCAAATCATTTAACCTGTGGGTTACTTTACCCTCTTCACTTTAGGCAAAGAAAACCAGGACTAAACTTGGAATAATTATCTCATCTTTCCCTCGTAAAAAGTGAGCACATGGTATGAAAAGATTTGATTCTGTTTACATGTTGAGTAGTTTTACTTTATTTTTTATTCATATGTTAGTATGGGTTATGTCTATAAACACAGGAAGGACGTTTGTTTTTAATACATTTTCCTAAATATCCCAGAGCTGGGTCATAGGGGGACTACACAAGTAGGCCTACGTTCCAACCAGGCGGTTTTAACCGAAGTTCGAACCGCAGCGCAAACCGCCATTCAACGGGTAGGCGCGCCATCCACATCACGAGTGGTTTAACCCCAGCGAGTGTACTGACAATGACGATTTGCTTGCAATTTATGTGCTGCTCGTGGTGAAGAAAAACAAAAACGGAAAATTGTGGGTAAAAGGCTGGCTTCAGAAAAAAAGACCTCTTGAGCCATAGATCTATCAATGCGGGACTTAACACCTTATCCTGATAATTTCAGTATTTTTTTAACAAATGTGTGTGTGTGTGCAAGTGGATTGCGCCAGGTTTGCTTTTCCATTCTGAACCGTCAGTTTGGAAAGCACATACGTAGGGCCTCCGAGACAAGTGTAAGTAAGTGTATGTGTTTCACACCCCTATAAACTCTATTACTAAGATTATTAAAGAGGCAGGACCTCTGAATTTAACATCCGTCTCCGACGGAACCAACCCAAATGAGCTGAGAGCCTTGAAAACTCCACAAAACGACCAGAGATCAAGAACACCTAGACAGATATGAACCATGGTCCTCCACTCGACAACTCAGCAGGATACGAACTGAGCTAAGAAGTGTAATCACTATTATAATAATAACTGCTGCAATCAAATTTTATAAATTGTAAGTTTTTAAGTGCCATCCACGAGAGCACCATAACTTGCTTCAGAATTGATAGAAACAATGAAATACAATGCCAAGCAGGACTGAAATTTGAGTAATCTTTCAATGAATACAGTATAACATGAATAGGTTGAACAAAGAAGACTCGAAATCACGCATCCCTGTCAAACTGTGCCTGCAGCCCCCCCCCCATTGCTTTATCTTTGTAAGATATCCTTCGAACTACCGAGGCTTGTTCCGATGAATTCGAGTTAATCATGTTATACTGTATTTTTTTTCTTTTTTACTATTGACCCCCAGTAGACTGCACTACAGGTATTTACAAAGGGAGGAAATATATTAGAATGAATAGGAATTTTCTTTTTGCACTACAGAATGCACTTATCCACAAAGTTGAGAACAATTTAAGAAAGAATTATTTATCCATACACGCATAAGGTAATGTTTAATTTCACTCATCAAACAACAAGAACCAGTGCATCCAACAGCAGAAGCTGAAAAGTAAAGAAAATTATGTCGGGGGTTCGGGGCCCAAACAATGTCCAATACCTTTTACGTCCATTTTAAAATACATTTCTGTGTGGATTTTACTGGAAAAACGTTGGAAAACAGGGATTAAAAAATGCAACTTTTCAGTTTCCAAGAACTCTACAGCTTAGAAAGTCACCAAACTTTGGTGGCCATTTTCTCACTAATTTTACCTCTGACCCTTAGCAACCCCCACCTCCTTCAATTGTAATTATCCTGACTTCCATTCAAGATAGATAGATAGGTATTTTTTTCATCAAAACCAAGACAGATCAACAGGCTTTAAGTAGCAATGCCAATGAAAATTTAAATTTTCACTTTTGTCCCCCTTTTTTTTGGTACCTAAGAAAGAATTTTCAATTCTAAGAATTATGCTTCTTGAATTTTGAGAATCGGTTCATAAATAAAAAAGTTATGGGGTTGTAAAGTTCGGCAAAATATGGATGACCCACATATAGGAAAATACTCCTAAAAAGTGGACCACGCAGTAGCAGATTCTGTAAGAAAATCGACGATATCTCGGTAACTAATCGGAGTGTTCGAGAGAAACTTGGCTACCCGATGTGTTTTTGAGTGTAGAAATCATTTCTGCAGTCAGATTTACTACCAATTTCGTAGTTATTCTGTTATAATTAAAATTGTGGTGTACATATTACGATTTTGCGAAAAAGGGGTGTAGGGATGAGTCCATTTTATTTATAGCATCGTATCACAACATGGGATCTTTAAGAATATATGTCGGCAGCGTGACTAAATAATTGCAAAGTTTTTTATGATGACTTTAGACCATGCTAACCTTAAAAGATAAGTTAATTCAATCTAGCATGCCGTACAATTAAAAATTCTTTTTCCCAGTTGAGACGCGAACACCCCGAGACGAGATAACCTCGCCTTGGAATACCCCCATTGCGATGTTACAGGGGAATAGAGAGAAAAACAACTGGATGCGCGCGCCCGCCATTGCCCTATTTGAAGTGACCAATGAACGGGCCCGGAATATTCATGCGGGGATTTGTAGGTCACATACATTTGCCACGAGAGTGAGGGGAAAATGGCCGGTCTCCGTGCGAAGCCGCTTTGGATAGGGGGGTAGTCGTGCATTTATGATCGGGTCTAAACAACTACATGACACAGAACGTTCAAATTTGAGCACACTATAGAGGATAGATAGATCTATTACCATCTCGGCGTTGAAATTCAAACTCACTATAGTTTTCGGTGTACACGATACGAAAGTGTTCCCGACACCAAAAGTATAGGTTAATTTATGTGTACGAACTTCAACGTCCACATATCATTAATTAGCCCTATTTTCTGATTGGTTGCCGAGTTTCATTCGGATTGGTTCGGAAATAGAGCAGACCGAGGTTGACAAAGTTAGTCACCTACGCTTCGGCCGGGTCCGCAAAATCGGCCGTAAACGGGGACCAAATTTTCGCCTCGCGGGGAAGTCCGATTGGCATTGCTACTTTAAGATGATACCAATAACACCACATGCCCAAAAATTGACAAGTGCCCGATTCCACCGCATCATGATCCATTTTTTTCTTTCACAAAAGCATAGTTTGATGCTCTTGAACGTGAGAAAAAATTTGATGGGAAAAAAAAAAAAAGAACATCACTGTTCTACTGTATCGCCTCACTAATAAACTGAAAAAGCTTTGAAAAATATAAATTCAATGAAAAGAAACACACCTCTTCCTCCTCCACCTCTTTTGCCAGCTCCCCGTTGACCTGGAGGCTTCGGCAGAAACCTGGCAAGCGGCAGCAACTTGGCAGGGTCAATATAGAACTGTGAACAGATGGATGATGAACTGAAGACATGACCCCCAGACTGCTTTGGGAACTGACAAACAAATTTTCAAAAAAAGCCTTTTTGAAGCTATTTATAACTGGCTATCCTGAATTACGCGAAACTAACTTTTCACATCCAAAAATGCATTCTCAAGACTCATTGCCAATACTGATAACCGACCTTCTGACAGGTGCATTTTTAAAATCAATAACTTAAGGCAACTTTCATTTATATATTCACAAAAATCACCATCAGGTTGCTCACTTTACTGTTACTATTATACTCATACTGCCAAAATACAAAACAACCAAAGAGAAATAGAACAGAAGAAAGTGTAAGACATACCAGAAGCACACTGGAACCATTAACTATTTAAAGGAGTCTTGACTAAAGAAGACAGAAATATCCAACAGAGCAACATATTCTGCAAAATTAATTACTGATGGTTTACAATTCTTGAATTCTCACGAACTTCAAACTCAAACCAAAAGTACATTAGGTTTTAAGTCTTCCAACCTACCTTTGAAGATTTGTCAAAAGATCCAGCTTTCATATTCTCTGACAGTTTCACTGAAAAATACTAGGAAATGGTTAAGGAAAAGTGGTGAACATTTAAAAGAAGATGTGCAGTTAAAATCTTTTTTTTTCTTTTCCAGTTCTACATTTATTTCATCATGGGTGAAAATAGTCAAGATTCAACAGCCTGGTGACCATTACTAGTGTTACTCATCCACTCTATAATTTAAAATGACAACTTGAGTTCATAACCTCATAAAAGATGTGCAAGATGCAAAGTCGCACAGCCAACATCACTAAGTTTTTTTCTTCTATTCGTCAAGTTGAGAAAAGTTAAGGCAGTTTGCAATCACAATACTCGACTAAGAGTAATAAACATACAAATGGCATCATTTGACTTGAAATGAAAATATATACATGGGCCTTGTGTTCATTGACCCAATCGACAAAAAATTCCCTCCCATGTAGAGGCACACACTAAAATTTTATGCTGCGTTATTTATCACCATCAGACTATTACCGGAAAATTTCTGGGTGGTAACGAAAGCGAATCTTGATTCTTCCCGATCGAGCCTCGGTGTCACACATACACTTCCGCCATAGTGGTTCAATTATGTGTCCTCTTCACGATTCATCAACCATACTGTCTAGACAGCTACACTACTAACATTACACAGGCCCTATCCTTTCCAGACTTACCGACCCATCACAAAATTCCCGACTTTTCCCCGACCCATCTCAAAATTCCCGACTTTTTCCCGATTTCTCGACATGGCTTTCTGCCCCCTCCCCATCACCTCCTTTGCCCCCTTGTCTGTCTGGGCTCCAGACTCTTTCTGCAGCCTTTCTACTGCTACTCCTTGGCTCCTTCTTACTGCTGTCTTTCAGCCACACCCTGATCTTCTGGTAGGAAAGATCTACACCTAGCCTTCTCGGACATGGGTGAAAAATCTCGGTGGGCTTGTGTGCAAGTTGAGAATGTTAAAGATCCCTAGGAGTTCTAAAATCGATAAGAGTAGGCTTCGGCGGCCACCTGTGCAAAATTCAAAATTTCCTACCTAATGGAAAAGTTTACTGTGTCCAGCGCGCTCATATGAACCGTATGCAGTTGCGAGCACCATAAAACACTTACCATCCCCCCCCCCCCCAAAAGACATAACCTATTCTACTGCCCTCTGCCTCTATCATATTAGTTCTGCCCTGAAAACAGTGTTGGCAATATTGCCGACCCAGAATCAAAATAAACTACCTTCAAAACATAATGTCTTAGTGATGGAACATATTCACTTTAGGCCAGAGCCCCATCCACACCCATGTGTGCAGTGAGTGCAACAAAAGCTATGACATCACTGCTAATTAACCACAGAAAAGTGTAAAAAGTCTCAATTGATTAGAAAATCTGTCAAACAAATAAAAAAAATAATAAAATACTCCCGCAAAGATTCACTACTGAAAAGCTGGGGAATGAATAAACAATGCACGACTCTCTCACACAAAGGAAGACAACCCTTACTTTTAGCTCGGTCAACAATGACACTTGACGCATAAATATTTACATTCATCTGTTGAGTTTTATGACTTTGTAACTCTGGTGAATGCCACAGTGGTCTGCAGAAAAACAAATACACAGCTCAAACTGACCGACCAATTCCATTCAGGTAAAACCGTACTTCATAAATACCAGAATATAAAATACAAAGGATACAAAGTCTTTGATGGGTCCAAATATCTCGTCCACTTTTCCAATCTGTTTCTTGTTCTCCAGGTAGATAGGGGCGTTAAAGTAGGGAATTTTCTCATTGACACTCTTGCAGACTAGATCCTCCTCACAGGTATGCGTCATATGGCCAATCTCTGGAAGAATTAAGTGAGATTATCACTTCACTGCTAAACTGTCAAGAAATTTGCTTCATGGTTGGTGCATTCAGAAATCATAAGAATATGCACACTATGACTATGAACAAAATTGGAGAAAAAAAATTTTTTAATCCCCTAGAACTTCAAAGTTTACACAGACCCAAAAACACCCCCAAAAAAAATCAAGCTAGATACAATCATATTGTAAAGTATTTATTTCTAAATTTCAAGAGTATTAAGTACCATTAAATGTTTGTGAATGGTTGGTGGGCATGCTCCTTCTTTCCTATCAAACATCTATCAACCTTATCTCTCCACCTTTTCTTTGTATGTCACACTCTTGTAACACCTCTAATGTTTAGCCCTTAATAAGAGACCTAATTGCGTTTCAAGTGCTGCAATACTTACTAAAACTAAACAAAAGTTCCATTTTTGACCTACTCTGAACAGATTCACTTCATTCAATAGGAAAAATTAAAAAACAGTTTAATTTTATAGACCTGTGCCACACAATATTTTGCTAATACCCAAAAAGTTTATCCCATAACCTTGGCTACTGATATGCTAATGTTTCCATAATCTAGACATCAGTGTGCACATCTACATGAGCACAGATTCAATAAAGATTTCAACATTTGTATGACACATTTTCTAAAAGAGTGTTCAGAATCATCAGCGGACTGTTTAAACATGTAAAAAAAAAAGAGTGCAAACATTGTTCCCACAAACACTGGGCAAATTTACTTTAGATGAATCTTAATAAAAACATAAAATATGTTCTTCATACTTACAAATTACAATTAGATTCTGTACAAACCAACAATTTTACATCTGACACAGGAAACCCCAAAAACCTTCAATTGCAAATATCTTTACTTCTATTCAAGACAGATGGGCATTTTTTTCATAACAAGCAAGACAAATGGCCAAGCTTGAATCCAATGACCCCATTTGCTAAAAAATTGACGGAACGCCTGATTCCATTGTGGATCAGTGTGTACTGATAAATAATATGACAATGACAGATTGCTTGGCGGCAGCTAGCTACTGAATGCAATGGCGGGTTATAACACACCAACCTTTGATGACACCTCTAGGTATCCAGCGATTCCACCCTATCGTAGTTCATTTTTATGCTGTTCATTACTAGAACATTAATGAAATAAAGAGAAAAAAAATCACATGATCAAAAACTTCTATCATTTACCCATGACTTCCTCAGGAGGCCCCTGGTCTTGGAATCTGCCATAGCCACCTCGTCCTCCTCCACGACCGCCACCTCTACCACGAAAACCTAAAAGTAATAAATATTTCTTTTAATTTCATCTATTAAACTCAAAGTACAGAACACAAAATACATAAATCAAACGCAGTCCAATTATACTAACATGCACTGGCAAATGCAAAGGAACACAACTGATAACTATAAATTAGCCTTCCTCAATTTCACCATAAAAATAAAATAAATAACCATTCAAAACTCCTATTTAAAAAAAACCCCAGAAATTACAGTTGAACCTGCTTAAACAACCACTTGTCCTGTGCAAAAGGACCACTTCCCTCTTCCTCCCTTGAAAGTTTCATACATATTATAATGACACTTACCAGGCGACCACCTGTTTAACATGACCACTTTTCTCCTTAACAATGGTCTTTGACAAGTTCGACTATATTTCAGATATTTTTTTAATACACAGCTAATTTATGACAAAGGAACAAAATTAAATGGTGACACAATGAAACGGGGAAAAAACCCCGCTACAGCAATTTTTTTGGTAAAGACAAATTTTTAGGACATTTTTCCTGAGAGAACAAGGAGAGGGAAAATATATTCATCATTTTCTAAGGTACAATAATAACATATTTCACTAGACAACAACTATAGAAAAGCTTAGAACGATTGTCAACAAGACAAAACACAAATGAATTATTATTAACATTTAGCTCTGACGTTAGAAAAAAGGTTGGAACCAAAGATATCCATTAAAATGAATAATGTCGTTTGGGAACCTCACCTGTTTACAAGCACACACCCCAGCCCAGAGCATATGTGATACAAATTTCAATAGTAAGATGACTAAACAACACCCAAAAAAGACATGACTCAATGGATTTTACAAGTTCCCATGAAGTCAGACCTTTAAAACAGCTCTCTTTCCACAACACCTATCATTGGATTATAAGCAATAAACAATCTACAGACTAGATCATTGTAGGTACACTGATGAAGCACCAGGATACTGTGAAAACACGACCACAAACATTCAACTCAGAACAGGAAGCTTTGATGGCTTCTGTTTTGCTCTCAAAACAATTGACTCCCACCTTAGTAATTCAACCCATATTTTCACTGAAGGATCAGCCTTCAAGGGAATTATTAATGTAGGCTTAGATTAAGAATAGAGCATCCTGACAAGATGTGTGAAGAACTATTTGGTGCCTGCAGTATCTCTTGTACAAATTATGAGGCAGAGGCCATCGCCATTGAAGCAGTAATCCTCCACCAGACCAACATTTTCATTATAATTAATCCAGACAAAATCAAGGACTCTGTAATCTTCACAGACTGAAAATCACTACTCCAATCTTTGGAACACATGAATTTCAAAAGCCCAGCTTGCCTATCTGTGGCTCAAACAATTAACACTTTCATGCAGACCTATGCCATCAACTTGACTTTACAGTGGATACCTGGCCACAGCAACATCCCTGGAAACGACAGAGCAGACACTCTTGCCGAGAAGGGAGCATCACAAACACAACCTTAAAACCCAGAATCACAACAGACAGTCAAGAACATCGTCAAATGCAACACCAGGGAACATTGGCTGAATGATGGGCATTGGGCAAAACTGGAAGAGTAGTATTTGCACACATGACTGTTCCCAACTCAAAAGATGCACTACATTCCCTGAGTAGAAGTAGAGAGCAAGTCACTATCTTTCGCCTGCGAACACAATACATCCCACAGAATTCCTATATAATAAATACGATCCGCAAGGATACCCCACCTGACTGCCCGTTGTGTGACTGCCAGGATGAAACAGTATTCTGCGGGGAATACTGCATACAGACATATCTCAAAGGCCGCCAAAAATGACTTATATGTGTGCAAGCAATACTATCCGCGAGCACACAACCTCTTTACCTGCCTGCACTTAGCGACATGTGTAGCACCTACCTACCTGGCTCCCCAGATATCAGAAATACTTTATACAGCTACAAAACACAGCTGATAAAAACATAGTAAATCTTTTGCCATATTGACAGGTCGAAGGGCTAGAACTCAGATGGCCGCTGGATCGGAAAAGTAAAGTACAGCTTCTGTTTGACAAGTACATACCTCCACCTCCACCACCTCTACCACGCCAACCTCCTCTACTCATGGCACAGCTGAAATATAGAATACAAGTAACTTTTAGTATTCATAAAATAATAACATAAATAAATACATACTGCAAGTGAATTTTCAAGTTTATTATAAAGAGAAGCAAAATGAGAATGTGATTCATAATTTAGACTTTTAAAAATCAATTAAAATCCTATAACTTTACAACTGGTTACAAACGACAGATGAGATAGGGCTAAAATGAATGATGACCTTCACTTTCTAAAATGTTCTTTCCCTCTTTTCTAAAAATATTTAACGTATAGCTTTTGTGACACATATATAACTCTAACAAGTGTTTTTTAAGCATTCCTATGATTGGGAAAAATGAAAGAAAACTATCAAACTATATTTAAAGCCCTTATAATAATTATTACAACATATGATACACTGTCAGCAACTACGGTACGCCACTCATTACTCTTCTCCCCAATATTCTTTTTTTTTTAAAACCTGTGATATCCAGGTCTCTTCCCATCATTTTCTATCTGTTCAACTTTCTTTTTCTAAAAAAATTCCGATCTACATCTGCCTTTTTTGCCTTCTATTTTTCTGGTGAAAGCAAGATGCTCAAGGCCTTTAAGTGTCCTAGAAACCAAGAACATCATTACTCTCTTCCTTGGTAATTACAGTATAACACAGAAAGCTCGAATTTGTTGGGACCAGCCTTGGCAGTTTGAGAGAAAACCAAAGGGTGAAGGAACCTCTTAAGTTGGCCTGAAAAGGGGAGCCCTGCCCCCCCTCAACTAATAAGTAGTACCGAAAGATACTTCAACCAGTGTGCAATAATTGTGAAGTTGACCCTGTCAATGGACAGTCCCCGACACATGTGGAACTAACACGCCGAAGTCATGTCATGTGATGCGAACTTGCTACTGAAACAGTTTTACAGATGGGCTCTGACTAACTGTGCGTTCACACCAAACACTCTGGCGAGCGACAGTCGTTCTTGGCTTACGACAATGGCTGACCGACAAAATGTACCAACAAACAAATCTCTCATCCCTTATATTATAAAAATTATGCGCTCAGACCAAAGCAACGACAACAACCGCGTGTTAGTCTAATCTGCGCAGTTAAAAACGACTGTTGTTCATCCGAGTGTTTGGTGTGAACGCGCGGTTTCTAGACCTCGGACGAGGCTTGTTCTGAAAATTACAGCTAGAACTACAAATATTATTGATTACGCCCTATTTGTAAGTTGCAATTGTAACAGTTATCAGGCTTTCATCAGAGAATTCTGAGAGCGGGCAAAGATCAAGGAAGTGGTTATTCACACCGGGTGTGCGCATAAGAAATTATTTTATTCGCACAGGGTCGAGCCTACGTTGATTTTCGACCTCGTTTGTCACACCCGGGTATCCCACCTTTTGGCAAAGGCTGTACACACTAGATCTCTAGTATAATATCATACTTATTTCAGTTTTAGGGTAAAAGCATGCACTCATCTCTCTTTCTCTCTCTCTCAAGGCGCAAGGAAAATAAAAAACGAAAAAAAAGAGAGATTTGAGTCGTTATCACACAACTTGAATTCCAGTTTGAGTGGGGGGGGGGGGTTCGAATCGCAGTGCACAATTAGAATTAGATCTATCCGTATCAAAGATATACTAGCACACATTACAAGATTGTTCACTAAGCTCGAGAAGTGTTCGTAGAAGTCAACGCATTGCTTCAGATGGCGTTGGAGTCTTTGTTTTGAAGCGCTCTTTCGTTTTTCCAAGCAGAAGAAGAGGATATAAGCACAGTCAATCAATTTCACTTTTATTGTTTTTCACACAAGTAGATCTTGGGTAACTCAGTTCGCAAAGTCCGAACTTTTTCGAAGAGGGCGTCTTAAATTTTGAAGACACTTTTTTAAGGCTGGCACTATTTCTCCAAACGTTCGGGAAAATAAAGCTGGGCACTATTTCTCCGAACGTTCGGGAAAATAAAGCTAGGCACTATTTCTCCG